GGGGGGGGTCACATCCCTCATACCCCCTCAAGTTTCGCCCCCTGAGGAGCCGGTGTAAGTTCATCCTTACAAGTGTCATGCGAAGCAATGCCAATGATATCAATGTGTGAATACGAACAGCTATCCGAAATAGGTCCATTCAAAGAGGTCTAGCACCGCCACGGCTTGTAAATAAGTAAACAAATAAATGAAAGGTGGAAGCATGCACTATACACATACATGCAGGATAGCAATATTTTCAAGCTTCCTAAAATAACCTATTGATTGGTATAACCCAGATTAAACTTTAGTATTCATAAATTGAACAGAGTTGCAAAAACGTTGCGGGTATGCAGGTATACCACCCGTGAGGAAAGTTTATCATATGTGAGGTCAGTGAGGAAGATTTAATGTGGAATAAAGGAATACCGAATGGTTTTCCGTGCAAGATTGCGTAATCCATGCACGAGGGATGTCGCGAGACTTTCGGAAAGCGTAAAAATACTCGAGCCGCAGGCGAGTGTATTTTTACGCTTTCCGAAAGTCGAGCAACATCCCAAGTGCATGGATCACGCTATCCTGCTTGGAAAACCATTTGGTAATTGTTTTATAAAATAACTACAGTGAAACAATGACATTTTGAGAATCCCGCGAAGGCATTTTAATTCCTCGTGCAGGATAGCCTGATCCTGCACGGCTATTGACCAATCAAATTGCGTGTTTCACTGTAGTTATATTACATAATACTCTATACTCAACACTAACACCATGAAACAAATAAATGATACTTGGCTAGGCAAGTTGATGTTGACAGGATGCTGATGTTGTGCTGGTAGTTATCACTGCATGCTTGTAGTAAAACATTCCTATAACGCTGGTAATAGCACTGCAGCTTTCTTGAGACCGGCCGAGATTTTTACAACGGTTAAAATCACTATCCGGTGGCGGTGGTAGTGCTATCTAGCGTATTCGTTTTAATTAAAGACATTGTCTAAGAAGTAACAGAGGCATGTGTTTTGTTTTTCTTAAAAATTTTCCCCGACTTGTTTTAACACTCAAATTGTTTAAGTTATGGTAAAGTCAAAGGCCCGTTTACATTTGCAATTTTTGCTGTGATTTCTAGTGCAATTTTTGCTGTGATTTCTAGTGCGATTTTTTTCTTCTGAGAATGTGAATGAGTTATGGATGTACGTAGTATACAATGTACCCTCATCTAAACATTCATAACATGAGAGTGTTCCCTCTACTAACATTCATAACTAACTTATTCACTCGTTCACATACATCACCTGAGAAGAAAATCGCAGCAAAAATTGCAAGTGAGTTGAAACGGGTCTTTAGGATCTCAGTCTATATGTGAGTTTTTATACTGCATTTACGATTCCCACCTGGTTGATCACTTGCACTGTGCAAAGCTTGCATTAGACAGGGTATATAGTAATAAAAGTTAGGTCAAGTTTGTGCAATATGGCATTTTAACATGGAGACACTGACAGTGTCAGTGTAGATAATTTGCTAAGCCCACTGATCTAAAAACTACTGGATAGAGAATCCTGGTGGGAATCACCTAGGAATAAAATACAAAACAGGGACATTGGGCGTTTTGAAAAATTGCACCATGGTTCATGATACCCTGTAACGTTACTGATGATACTGTACTATTGGTAGCTTAAACTTTACCAGTGAGATCTTCATGCAAATTATTAGTGGCTAGACTTTCTTTTAGTAAATTGAAACAGCAATTTAAATCTCTCATAATTATACATTAATTCCTGTTTTGCATGTCCTTAGTTGAGAACTACAATAAAAGAAAACCATGACAATTTACCTCGGTAGTAAGCATTTTCTTGTCTTTTTCCAAGGTTTCTAAAGTAATATTTAGATGTATAGTAAAACAATTATAACACAAAGTGAGTCAAAGATGAGGTGAAAATTTCAACTAAACTTTCAACAACTTGTCCCACCACAGTTTAGAATACACCATGCTATATTATGACCAATACCCAGTTGCTCAAAAATTTATTATGCATTTACATCAGCATCAAGTAAATAAATATTTTCATTTGTAGACACAACACATGATATACTGTATATATATGGTCGCGGGG